TCTGTAGCAAGAAGAATATGGGGATTCACTCTCTTTTGGGTGGATTAATAGAAGATTATACGTTAAGTTTATTCACTTTTCTGAAAAAGAAACTTCACCTAATACTCCAATAACATATCCCAGAAAGAAGTCACTGTTTTGCAAATTCAAAAGGTAGAAGAATCTACACTACATACAAAAAGGTAAAAAGGAAAAGGGAATAGGGAAATGATAGCTAATGAAACCTAGTAATGAACAGTATTGTGTTGAACTAAGTGATAATTCGTTAATTCCACCTTCAGATCAAAGTACAGAAACTTAAAATTGGAAACCGAAGAGATCTGGGATTAATTACCCGCATTTATTACAAAGTTTGGCAAAATCACCAGACCGCAAAGCCCAACCTTTCCTATAATCACCAGCCGCTGCTAATGAAGCTCCGCATAAGTCATTCATGCATATTCTAGACTCCATCCGCAGACATCAGTTCGGAAAAAGAAAAACCCTAATCCCAATTAATTAAAATCCAATTCAACAGGGGAGACTAAATACTAGGAAAAATCCCCCAATTAACCTACTAAAAATGCTTGAATTGAAAAATAACACTAATTTTCAGAAGTAATTTGCCCGAAACACGGTATTCATTATAGCAAGATGTATCGAGTCAACAAAAACTTACTTTATCCGAGTGGTGTTTCTGTAATTGTGTCGTGAAGTCAAAAGAAACGGTGGGATTGTTGGTTCTTGTATGAAATTTGATCTTGCTGATCTTGGTTCGCCGGATATGGAGGTTGCTGCCGGCGGTTGGAAGAGTCATGGAAAATGAAGAAAGTGCATGCTTAAGAGAGAGGGAGTGAGTTGCATGCACGACGCTTTACGGCACAGCAAACCAACTCTGTTACTCGGCGTCGAACTCTTGTGGGTCCTTTACCCACCACTCATGATTCATGACTCAACCAATTTAAGTGGTGTTTAGATACCAATTATGATAATCAAAATTAATTGAAGATATATATGCAATGTTGACATTTTAGAATTTAGATAATGGGTAAAGATTCTCATATGATCTTGATGGAAAATAAACAAATCAATGTGTCATTATGTTGTGTAAAAAATAAAGTATTGGTAGATTGGTATTTTATGGTTGGTTAATTTGTGTTGAAAGCTATTTGACGTTATGATGTTTGTATTGCCTAAGCACATTATGCGAGACCATGGGTTAGCTGGTCAGCATCACACGCGTGATGTAGACAATTGGGGGTGGATCAATAATAGCGTTTAAGAAAAAATGATATAAGTTATTATTTACAAAGAGTCTACAATATATTTTTAACAAAATATAAGTTATAGCTCATTAGTTGGTTAGTGATTTGCATTCATTTGCCAATTGACGACTTGAGGTGGGAGATCCTGACCCAAGACAACTTTCATACATGTGATCCCAGATTTGGGTCAACCCGCCCAAGGCCCAACTTTCAACTTTTATAGTTTTGGCCTCAATTTTTTTTTTTTTATTTTTCTTTTTTATGAGTTTACCCATTTACCTTTCCATCTTTGTTTATATAACTTATTTTTTTTATTTTTATATATTTGGCCAAACTTTCATTTTTTTTTTATAAATTTATTCAGAAACATTGTATACATATTTTTTCGAACTCTTTTTCTACAACTTTACTTTTATGTCTCTTAAAATTTAGCTTTTTTACAACTTTTTAGAGTAAATTACTGAAATTGTCCCTGTGATTTGGGGTGTGTTTGGTCTAGGGATGTCAACGGGACCAAACGGGAGCGGAAATGGTTGCCCCCGCTCCCGAAATCACTTGTTGCCCCCGCTCCCAGTCCCGCCTCCGGATCCCCCGCTTACACAGCCCCCGGTCCCGTCCCCGTTCTCCCGATACTCCCGGTTTATAGGCTTAAAAATAGATTTTTTTGCTAAAAAATTGCTTTGTTTTAGGCTAAAAATACTATTTTTAATAACTTTTGTATATAAACAAACATGTAAGCCCTTGATAAATCAAGAATTGATCAAACATAAAACATCACTAAAGTTATATATATATATATATATATATATATATATATATATATATATATATATATATATATATATATAAACGGGGCCCCCGCGGGAGTACGGGACGGAAATACTCACTCCCGCCCCCGCTCCCGAAAATAAACGGGAGTTAATATCGCCCCCGCCCCCGCTCCCGCTCCCGAATTTTTTAAAAAATTAGTCCCGTATGGTATCGGGGTCCCACGGGAACGGGTCCCGCGGGGGTTTTTGACATCCCTAGCTTGGTCCTTTAATTTTTGTTTTGCACTTAGGTCCTATTTGTTTATCTCTTAATTGCAAAATTAAGAGACAATGTCTTAATAATTCAGATTCGGATTGTTTGTTTGCATCTTATTTTTTTACCTCTTAAAGTTGTAAATACTTTTAATTTTTCAGATATTAAACAAAGTCTGAATTTAAAAAAAAAAAAAAAACATGTGTTCCTATTGTGCCCTAAACGATCGACCCTTCACCAAAACAACACCTCCTTTTCTCCTCCTTCTGTGCGTTCTTCTTCCCTTCACCACCAGATTCACCGACGACGTTGCATCGCCGGCGACGCCGCCGCACCCCAACGTCGCCTCTGCCGTCTGGAACGACTCTTCCACCTCCGTCTCCGACAAACCAGGTTCGTTTCTTCCTTCTTTCCCCCAAACTCGATATTTTTTTCTGTTTTTATGAATGGTTTGGCCTGAAAAAAAAACAAAACCATCTTTCTCTTCTTCATCTGAAAACTGAATTCTCTTCAAACTCGAGTTCAAATCGATAATTTTTCCCTTTTTATGTTTAAATCATATTTTTTTTTTCTGATTTTGTCGATTTTTTTTATGTTCAAATTTGTTTTCTGTTTTTTATGCTCGGTTATTATGTGTTCAATGGATATGATATTTGTAAATAATTGATGTGATTTGCTGAAATCAGATTTATGTTATGCTGAAATGTTGAAATCAAATTTATTGTTGATGTTATGATGAAATCAGATTTGTGTTTGATGTTATGAGCAATAAGATTCTTGACAAAAATCATAGAAAATTCTCATTATAACATATTTTCAAGGTTTTAATCTTAGAGTTTTAAGAGCAAAATTTCACACATAAACTTAACACTATCTTCTCTACTTTAATTATTTGTTCAAAATTTCACACATAAACTTAAAACTATCTTCTCTACTTTAATTATTTGTTGGTGGTGTCCATTCAAGATCATATATTGTGTTAGTGTTTGCAAGTATTTGTATCAGTGGCTATCTCTTCTTGCAAAGAGTTTGAGAGTATTGTATACTACAAATATTGTATAATGTTTTTAATACTAGCCTTAAAGTTTATGTGTTTTAGTCGATGTTCTAAATAACGTGAGGCATGAGCTTGACGACAAGGTCAAAGTTATGCCATGGCGAGCCTTGGTGAATTATAACACTTTTCAAGGCATGACTATTTTATATACATTAAAAAAGATAAATCATATAATTATTGAATTTATCAAGTATATCAAGTTTTTAGAAGTTTTATATTAATATTTAATATAAAAAAGTTAACAAAAGCTCAATTATTTTAGGTCTGATCAGAAAAAAAAAAACAAAAAAAAAACACAAGAAAACTCGCGCCTTGAAAAAAACTCGCGCCATAATGCGATAAGGCGAGTCTTGACACGTTATTTGGGCGCCACGCTTAACAAACCCGCATTGGACGTTTTCGTAACGGTTACACCATGCCTCGCACCATGACACGCATTGAGGTGCGCCATGACGTGCTTTTTAGAACCATTGTTTTAGTGGATCAATCATCGGTGAGTGAAACCAATAGAGACAAAGAGGGCATCCTCATTAACGTGGGGTAATTAAGCTTTTGATATAGAACCCAACAACTATAGATACTTATGTTCGATCTTTTTCACTTAAACATTTACACATATATTTATATTTTATTGTGTCTTTATAACTATTGGATATAGAAAACATTATGTTCTTCAACTACTCTCAGTTTATTGTCGTATAATATTGTATGTTTATATTTATATAATTTATTTGAAGAGTTCGTAACTTGCTAAAATTGTTTAAAATTGCAATAATTAGCACCCGTCCACCTCACGTGCACGTATCTCATGCCTTGAAAGGTCTAGATATCGTCATCATTATATATTCATCTTCATATTCCAACAAATGAATAACATCTTCTCCACCTAATTTTCTATCAATGTTAAATTACAATTTTATCATTCATCCTTATTAATATAAATCATATAAATTAAATTCAACTAAATTTCAACATCTTAGTTTTGGAAACCTATTAATTTCTAAAATGCACAAAGCTAAATGACAAGTCTTCAACATATAATTCCAACATAACATATTGATCCATATTTGGCATATCTATCCATAAAAACCACAACAATTATGTGAAAATTCAATTTTTATCCATAAAAACAAAATTTTCAAAATCAATTACAAAATATATCTATCCATAAAAAAGTTAAATTACGTTATTGCCCTCAATGCATATATTAATTTTAATTAGTCATTGTAATCTTTCTAGGTTACAAACCCGTGTATTATACGGATGATATTTAAAATATAAATTATAAGAAAAAGTCTTATATAAAATTATAAATATGAAAATAATTCTTTATATATAGGGTTTTATATATTAAATTGTTTTGATTTTGAATATTAATTTGAATATGTTTAAATCGTTATATGAAAAATAGCGGGAATAAATTGTTATTAAATTTTAAACTTCTTAAATTTAGGTATTTATATCAAGTAATTAAAAACAACATGGAAAGAATCAAAATGACATTTAATTTTAAACTTCTTAGAATTTGAGATTTATATCAAATGAAAAAAAGAAAATACTAAAAAAATGACATGTGACATCATTATCTATAAAACTTGTCATGTGTCAATCAAAATATATGTTATATTATAATAAGGATAGACAAAATTCTTTGTAATTTAATAAATTTTTATAAATCTTTGATTTGTTATTACTCACTATCATTTTAAATTATCGATAATGTTTTTCTTGTAGGGGTATTAACCTAATACAATATATAATATATTCCATAATTATGAACCTTGTTGAACCAATAGCCAGATACAACAGGAAGGTGATTTGTCTTCCATGGCTACATTGATTTTGATATTTGACTCCGCCTGTTGAGGTAGTCATTCCACGAGTGAGCTTGTGAAGGTAGAATCGCTTGTGTTACCATCATTCAACTACAAAACAGAAAAAAGATGGATAATATACGGGAAGAGAGGAATGAAAATTTAAGCATTAAGCAATTTAAGCATTTTTCTAGCTTATAGTCCAATCTTTGTTTATCTGGAATAAAGTAAAAGAACCACATTTTAAAGAAGACCCACAATCTAAATATGATGGTAAAGTAAAATAAAACATAGTACTTTATATTAAACAATTCCTAGAAATTGTGGAACAAACCTGTTGTTGCAGCCACCTTAGATCAGTGTTTATGTCTCCTTCCATATTATGATTTCGTCCATTAATTGAAATTTCCCTAAGCTTCGGTGTGTTGGAGGTTCCGGCAGTGAAAACCATCATCTCCTTGCAACAATCAATCCACACTGATTCAAGTAATGGCCATATAAAGCTATGCAATCCCGAGGAGTAGAAACACCTTAGGCATGGAAGATCAATGAGTTCTAGAGATTTTAATCTAGGGAACACTAGTTCATGACTCTCACTTGTTAATTGGGTGGCCTCATGTTCATCTTCTTCCTTGAGAATTACTGTCAGATTCCGGCATTCAGTTATGGATAATTCTTGAAGATGTGAAAGAATAGTGGCTATTGAAGGCAAGAGTATGTAAGTTAACTTATGACAACTAGCTACTGAGAGTTTAGTCAGGTTCTGAAACCCTATGAAAGTTTCAGGGCCATGCTTCCAGATATGTGTCATTGCAGGCAGATGTTCGAGCTCCAAGTCGCTCAAAATTTTAAGCACCTCATGATCTTCTCTTAACAGCCTATCTATGTCAAAGACAACTTCTACCATATGACAACGTTCAATACGTAGTACTTTGAGATCCTTTGGTTTTTGTAAGAGCCCAGAAAGAACAACACTTGATAGATCATCACAGTAGCACAATGACATTACCCTTAAGTTGACAAAACATGAGACAGGAAGAAGATGGTTCTGTATCTCGTTGATCTTCATCTTGGAAACTGATAAAACCTTCAGTTGCATAGTTGAAAGAATCTGCAATGCATGACCAAATATCCAACATCAATGGTGTTCTGTTAATTAGAAACACATCGCGTCAATAAATGTTACAATAATAATACTAAGAGGTGAACCTTTTGATTTAATGACTGAAGCTTAGGAAGGTTGCGCAGCCGGAATTCCAACAGTTGAGGAATCGTAAATGAAAAAACATCTTTGCAAAAACCAGTTAGACGTGGGAGATCTTCAAGAATCAAGGATTTCAGATTTAAAAGCTGAATCTCAACAACAGATTTTTCATCTTTCTTCCTCAAGAAAATTTCTTCTATCATTTCACACCCAATAATCTTGAGACTTTCAAGCTTACGAAAATCTGTTGGGGCAGATAGGGAGAAAACACGTCTTAAATTAACACAGCCTACAATTTCAAGATCATGTAGGTTCTCAAACAAAGTAAGCTGGTGATCAGGTTCATCGACTGTAATTTCACCCACAACATGGTTTTGGCCCTGACATATTTCTGTCAAATAGGACAAATCACAACGTTCTAGCTTTAAGTTTCTCAACATCAGGAAGTTGGCTCTTGAAGGATTCTTGAGGCTTGAATTTGTTAACAAACGCCAACCATGTAAATGCAAGATTTCAGTTCTGTTGAATAGAACTTCTATTCCGCCATCTCTCCAGTGAGCTGGAAAGCGTACTTGCAGCATGTTTTGAAACATCTTGCTCTCAATGGAAAACCCAATACATATCCTGAATCTTTTTAGCCTCTTGAAGATGAAGTCATCTGGTAGAAGATCATAAATGGATAGCTCAATCTCTAACGCAGTCAACATAGATAACGAGTTGAGTTCTGTAATACATGTTGTGATTTGTTCATCAGGCCAACTTACAAGGGTTCCACTCATGTATAATTCTTCTAATTGGATCAAACTTTTCAAAACTCCAGGAGCTATATTAAAGAGATCTCCACACCCTGTTAGATCAAGTACTTTTAATTGGCTTAACTTTCCAATTTCTTCGGGTAATTCTTTAACATCGGAGTGTAGAAAGCTTAGGGTTTCTAGCTTTACTAGATTTCCTATCATTGATATATCACTAGTTTTGTCAAAAGTGCAGTATTCTAATGACAAGTTTCGGAGTTTGCTCGAGACTTCAAATGATTCAGGATAGGATTGAAGTTGAACTAACATTCCCCTAAGAACTATCACTTTGAGTTCATTCATACCTTCATAAAAACCAGTCGGGAACTCCAACGGGTGATTTCCACCAATCAAAAGCAAAAGCTCGAGTTTCGGGCAGTTAAGCCTGCCCGGAAGTTCAGACATTTCATCACATCTTAGAGAGATGGAAGTGCAACATTCGTCCGTGAGCTCAGATGGCCAAAACGTCAACCCATCACCATGTTTGACCACAAAAACATGTTTGTTCTTGGAAGCAATCTTAAGACCAGAATCACGTACTAGATCATGCAATTTTACAGATTGATCATGATCACTTCCATATAACAACAAGTTCAAATTCTTTAGTTTCTGAACAAAAGCATTTATTCGGATCCTAGCTTCACTAACCGCAGCTGTCTTCTTAAACAAACTTAACCCTAACCCAAGCCTTAGCAAATCCTCGATCGAAATATCATGACCTTCAGGAAACAAGCAACATAGCAGAAACACGTGTTTCATCTCATTGCTTTCTAGAAAATTGTAAGTCACTTCAAGACTCGAGTACACAGAAGCATACTCTCCTTCAAGGTCGTAGCTTCTTAGTCTCTGAAGCGCATCATCCCACATAGACTTGTCCTTCTCGCTCTCAAGAGCTCTTGCAATTGTTACGATGGCAAGTGGTAACCCACCACACTCCTCCACGATATCTCTTGCTAGTTGATGCAGATTCGGATCTGGGTGAAAAGCTTTTTTAGCTGTTCTTTCGAAAAGAAGCCATGCTTCATTCAGTGGCATTTCTCGTATTTTAAAGATTCTATCAGCTCTCATCTGGTTACAAGCACTAATACTTCTTGAAGTCAACAAGATTTTGCAGCCGTGGTGTTGTCTATCTGATCCAAAGGGAATCCCAAGTTCCTCCATGTCAAGCCTTGACCATATATCGTCTAATATCACCAGCACCCTTGTAAGCATTTTTAACCTCGCACTTACCCGAGCTGCTCATACCAACAAGCTCTCTTCTTGTAGTTTTAAGCCCAACTGTTCTGAAATATTACTTTGAATTGTGTTCTTGTTGGGTGCTTGAGTGACATCTACCATGATAATTACGTCAAATAGATGCTCTAACTTAGCTCTTGCCCCGACTTCTTTTGCCATTGTTGTCTTCCCCACGCCACCCATTCCACATACCCCAATCACACAAACAGCGTCATCTTTCAAAGATTCCATGATTTCAGTTCTAATTGAGACCCTTGATCCAAACCCTTCAGAATAACTCAAATGATTGAAATCTGTGATTTCTACAGGCAATGGAGGATTTGAAACGTTAGTGAATTTGTACTTCTCCTGGAGTTGTTTCACATCTTCCATCATCCTCACAGCCTTCTTACTCCGTGAATACCGTGATTTGATATTTAAAAATCTACCACAAAAACACCAGAACCATTTCTGAACCGAACCGGTTGTAGTAGCTTGTAAAACTTTATCTGCCTCTTTCTTCAACTCATCAACACCATTCATCCATGCCAAAACGTCTGGTTTGATAACCTCTAAATTTCTCATGGCAGCATCAACTGAATGCTGAACACTAGCTCTACGATTTTCAAGATCTTCGACACCATCTCTAAGTTTCCCAATGTTAGATACGTAGTTAAAAAGATACCCATGTTGGTTTTTTACTGGACCACACAACCATTGTCCAATCTTTAAACTAACCTCCACTAAAGGGACTAAAAATGCCAGTAACGCAACCATCTGTTCTTCTTTTCTTGAAAAAAGGACTTATCTTTGAATACGTGACCTTGTAAATCGGAAGAATACAATCAAACCCGAAATAAGAATTAACAGCAGAAATGAAGGATTTAACTGAAAGGCAACAAGAATGTTTACACGAACGTAAAGTAATTACCGTGATTTGGTCTCTGTAGATTGCAGACGACTAGCTGGAAGACTTCATCAGCCAATAGCAGAATGTAGTACAGAGGGAGTAAACATTGACTTAAACATCTGATTGTGGAATAGATGATAAAACAATGATTGGAGTTTGTGTTTAATTGGTTTCTTACAAAAATAGTCCCTAAAGTGTTTGTGAAGGACTTATGTACCGATATTTGTTTGGTTTCTTGCAGAAATAGTCCATAAAATATTCGCAATCAGAGGACGACATGCATGCTAGACGAAGTAACATTTACTGCACGAAGAATTGTTGTAGCTACATTGCATAATTAAATTGTAGGACACGTGAATAACCTCCACGAGTCATGCTTAAAGAGGGAAATGAAGAGAAATGGAGAAAATTGAAAAGTACAGAGGAAAATATATGTATTCCCCATAATTTTTTTTGAAAGGATTTGGATAGAAGAGAAAATGGTTGATCTTCACAGGAGGATGTGAATACTTATACATCCATAAAAGAGTCATGATCTATAAGTTAGAAATGATTTCTACCATCATAAAACCATTGTTCTAAGCAAATTCAATGATTCAATACTAAATTAATAAAATAAACCAACAATTCTCATTCAAATACCAAACTCATGATGGAAAATCGCCTCCAAGGTGCTCCAATGGTGGAAAATTGAAATGTGGTTGTCAAACCTAACCCCCAAGGTAAACGATGAGCAAAATGACAAGAATGCCCCAAAGTGTGCAGCTGCGTGGGTACCCTCGCAAAGTTGTGCGACTGAGACTCCACCATCGTAAACGATGTTGGAATGCTATTGACTCTTTTTCTCCACTGCATGTAACACTTGGAAAATTTGTAAGTTTCATATTTACTCCCTTCTTATTAAAAGTATTGCATTTTGGTCTTTGAGCTAGTACGCGGGGCGTACAGGGTGGTACGCTTAACGTACTAGCCCGGATTTGGATCGTGACCTTGGACCACGTATGCTGGGCGTACGTGAAGTACGCACGGCGTATGCATGGATTAATGAAACCCTAATTTTAGGGTGTTGCACCCTATTTAAACTTTGTGATAGCCTCACTAGGTTATGTTTAGACAACCTCCATCCCCTATTGCCCAGAAAATCGAACCCTAAATGAGATCTTGAGAGTTTAAGCCTTAAAGTGTGATTTTGGGTGCTTGTGAAGGAGAAGAAGAAGTGAACCACTTGGATTTGTGCTTGGAGCTTGAAGATCTGAGATTTGTTCTTCATTTGCTTTCCTTGTGAGGTAAAAAGTTCCATCTTGCTAATCTATGTTGCTAGATCTAGTTTGGTGCCATTTTTGTACTTTTTGAGTCCATGGTTGGGTTGTTGAGCCTCTTGATTAACTCTAGAAGTGATTGATGGTAGATCTGGGGTCCTTTAGGTCCATTTGTTCATAAAAATGCAAGCTTTATGGCATTTGTGGTCCCATGCATGTGTTAAGTCATTTGTTAAGCTCTTTTGAGCTCTAAAAGCCTCATTAAGCCATGCATGCACGTAAAGTTGACAACTTTACGTGATAAATCACCTTAAGGAAGTTAGATCTAAGTGTTTGAGTGAAGTCTTAACTGTTTAAGAGTTGAATGAAAAAGTTCGTTAAGAGGGTGGAGTACGCTGAGCGTACAAGCAGGTACGCTGCGCGTACAAGGACTTTAGCGAGTACGTTGAGCATACGAGTTGAGTACGCCCTGTGTACTCAGCATTGGGCTTCAGATATGTGGTCTTCTCGTATTGGGCTATGTTAGGCTTTTGATGTCTTGATCCTTGTTGGGCCATCATAATTCTCTTGTTGGGCTATTGATATTTTATTGGACTCTTTGGTTGAAGGCCTATGAAAGGGGTTTGGGCCCAATTGTAACGCTTAGTCCAAGTATTAATTATTTTTCAATATTTTAGGGTTTTGGACTGGAACTCGACGAGTTGGGGAGCTCCAACTCGTCGTGTAGGAATTATTTTGGACGCGGGACTCGACGAGTTGACGCTGGAAAGTAAAACCCTAATTTTCAGGGTTTGCACCCTATATAATCTCCTTAAGCCTTAGAGGCTGAACCCTTATCAGCCCCCTAAACCCTAATATCGATATTGCAAACCCTAATCCCCATTTCCTTCCATATTGTGAGCTAGTTGGCACTTTGGAGCAAGAAGAGGAGAAGTTGGTGAGAAAGAGGCAAGGATTTAGCAAGCATCTTCGTGTTGGCACCAGGGTGAACTGTTGTGAGTATTCAAAACCCAATTTTTATGTGCATGCATAGCTAGTTCTCAAATTTTGTCCCTTCATCCCTCCTCATTCTTAGTTGTGCATGCATGGATTTCATAAAGCTTGCAACTTTATGAATCTCCAGGGCAAAAGAGTCTCTTAGTGGGCTAGATCTGACTTTTGATCAAATCTTGATACCATGCTTGGAAGTTCGGGTATATTTCTCCTTTTGAGGCCATTATAGTTTCAAGACATGCATGTCTATAAAGCTTTAATCTTTGGGATGTCCTTGAGGATAGAACCTCTTCTAAAAGGGGTGGTTCCAGATCTCTAAGGTCTTGGGCTTAATGGTTAAGCTTTTGGGTTTAAAAGGCTTGGTTAAGAGTTTTGGACGTTTGGGATGGTACCAAAGGATAAAGTTGGAAACTTTATCCTTTAAGGCACATTAGTAATTCAGATTTGAGCATTAGAGTCCCTAGAATCGAAGGAAAATCTGAACGTGTGCAACAAGGGAAAAACTCTACGAGCTGCCTTACCAACTCGGCGAGTTGGATCGGGTTTTCCCGCCTTCTGGATATTGAGCGAACTCGGCGAGTTGGTGAGATAACTCGACAAGTTGGCTAGGGTTGTCCCGACTTTCTGAACACTGAAGGGACTCGACGAGTTGCCAGATGCACTCGACGAGTTGGGTCAAACAGGGAATTTTGACCTTGACTATTGACTTTGACTTGAACCAGGGTTGACCAAGTTTGACTGTAAGGGTATCTTTGTTAACCCGGAGTTTCCTTGAAGTGATTATAGGTTGGTTGTAGACGGTTGAGTTCGGAGTGTGAGTTGGGATTGGATATTATCAGTTCAACATTTCTTGAGAGGTGAGTCTCCTCACCATACCAATGGGTCGAAGGCACCAAGGCCGACCTATTATTGCTATGTGATGTGCTAGTTGATTATTTGCTATGTGGTATACTAGTTGTATTTGTGGTAATTGCATGAAAGGCCTCGGGGGGTTCCCGAGGCACTTGGATGTAAGACCTTGGAGGGTTTCCATGTCATCCTAAGTAAAGACCTCGGGAGGTTCCGAAGGCACTAGGGTGTAAGACCTTGGAGGGTTTCCATGTCATCCTTAGTTAAGACCTTGGGGGGTTCCCGAGGCAATGGGCTAAGACACTGGAGGGTTTCCAGGGCACCCGGAGTAAGACCCTGGAGGGTTTCCAGGGCATCCTTATATGTTTATATGCATGGTTTATGTGATTGATATGGATTATATGGTTATGTTGATTATGTGGGGTATGCTATAGGGAACTCACTAAGCATTAACTTACAGTTTGTTGGTTGTTTCAGGTACTTCAGGATCTAAGGGCAAGAGCCCGGCGTGATGGCGCGACATGTACTCTAGCGTTTATTTGGGACACTCTGATTTTATGAAATTTATCTGATGTTATGAAATTTATCTGATGTTATGAATTTTGAAAACAATTGTAATTGGAATTTTATAATTTATGGGAATGAATTTCGTAATTAAAAATGAAAAATTTTGCCCGAGATTTTGGGCTGTTACACCAATTTGGAAAATCGGGCCATAATTGGACTTTGGGTGATTATTTTGGAATTTGGGCTTTTGGACAAGTGGATTGGGCCTTGGTCTTGGGCCAAGTTAGGAAAAGGGTAAAAAGGACTTTTACCCTAGTTTGGACTCTTAGTGTGAGTCGAGATTTAAATATTAATTGGATGTTATTTTGTGATAGCGCGGAGATTTTAGCGGGCCAACAGCCAGAGATTTTTCTATGAGATTCAACAATGCGAGGTGAGTTTCCTCACCATGTTTAGCGGGTCTAAGGCACTAATGCCGGCCCATGATCAGTTATGTTAGGATACTAGATGTTTGTGTGACTCTTGTATGTGTATATGCTTATATGATTAGTATGCTGGGCGGGGCCCGTTATACTCAGTGGCCGTGGCCTGATATGCGAGTTTGGGCGGGGCCCGTTATACTTAGTGGGTGGGGCCCGTTATGTGAGTGTGGGTGGAGCCCGATACACCCATTGGGCGGGGCCCATTATGTGTTTGTTTATGTATGTGGTATTTTAGGGAACTCACTAAACTTTATGCTTACGGTTTTCAGTTTATGTTTCAGGTACTTCAGGATCAAAAGGGAAGAGCCCGGGATGATTGCAGAGCACACACCACATTTTTCCGCATTTTGAGATTTACTATGATATGCTTTAATTTAGTGACATACTTTGATCTTTTGGGGTTGTATGACAATGTTTGGATTAATGTTTTATTAAATAAAAAATGCAATTTTTTGGGTTTTATTTTTGTGACGTTACACTACACCACCTCACTACTCAAGATTCCATTAGTCCCCTCCATACCTCATATGATTCAAATTTGGTCAATCATCTTCAAGCTTCAAATAGACAGTCCACTACAAACAAAGTTACATTTAGTGGCACATTTAGACAGTACACTACTACAGTGGCACATTTTCTTTTATGCCACTATGACTTTAGTGGCACGTTTTTTTATGCCATGTAGAATGAAAATTCTAATTTTTATTCCCCCTCACTAAAAACTTTCATATTCCCGCTGAGCAAAAACTTTCCGCCAACTCCAATTATTTTTATTTT